CGGTCCCTGCCTCCCTCCCCTGGCGGCCCCCGCGACGTGGCCGGGCCTAGGGGCTCCTCCTGCGAGTCCAGGGCCATGCCCAGGTACAGAGGTAGGTGCCCGGGTGGGGAAGGAAAGTTGGGCGAGCGGGAAGGCGGGACGCTCTTCCAGAGGGGACCAAAGGCGCGGGCCTGGGCCCCAAAGTGTTCGCCCCTCTAGGGGCCCCTCTGTGCCTCGGGGTGGCTCAGGTGCGGGGCTGGGCGGTGTCCGGTGTCGGGTATCCGGTGTCTGGAGCTGCGGGCAGGTGAGCGGCGGCGCCAGGGGCTGGAGGCTGTGGGAGGGGGCGCCCGTGGGCGGCAGTTCTGGCTTCGCATGGAGTTTCGGATCCTCGAGGGCTAGGGACAGGCGCGACCCGCGGGGTCCGCCCGGGAGCACCCGAAGGCCAGTGTCTGCAGAGGGGGTGCCTCCGGACCAGTCTGGAGATTCTGGGCTCTAGCAGGGGCCCTGCGTCTCTGTCCTCAGTCTCCTGCTCCCACCGCGCGCCTCAGCTGGACCTGGGAAATGGGTTCAGCCTGCTGCGCTGTCCTGGCTCGAGGGCACCCCCAGGACACCCGCGGAGGAGTAGGGGCGCCGGGCCACCAGGTCTATTGTTAGGCCGACCCAGTTAGCCCTTGTCAGCGAGTAAGCGATATTCTACAGCCTCGCGGATGGACACCTCTGGGTGCTTCTGCCTTTGGGTTCACGTTAGAAGGGTATGGGGTGGAGAGGCAGTGAGCAGTCACTATTGTATTTTTCTTACCCTCCCCAAGGGCCTCCTCCTCCCTTAGCTTTTCGTCACCGAAATTGGCTTTTAAGTGACTGTTTAATAGAACAAATTAGATACACTTTTTAAGTGAATAAAAGAGTGGGTAAAGATTGGGCATATGAATGGAACTTTCCAGGTAACTCTGTGAGGACAGTAATGTCGATTTTATAAAGAATGAGAAATGTTTACAAAATTTTAAAAATTCTTCTCATCTCTAGTAATTCATTTTATACTACGAAATAGCCCTTCTGTAAATAAATTAATAAAATAAGTTTGAATAAGATAACTGAAAGTCTGAAAATAGAGCTGGCTGTGTTTTAGAGAATGAGAATTCAAACTGTTTTCTTAACATTTAGGTTAGACTGTCAATATCAAGGTAGTTTTTGTGGTTAAGTTTGTTTTGCAGGTTTGTTTGTTTGTTTAAGGTCTTAGCATCATCACAAACACATTTACTGTTTTGTATAAGGTAGGATGTGGAAGGTGTGAGGATCAGGCCAAATTTCTGGGTACCCTGGAAAATAACTTAGCCTATAACCCTTCAGAAATTTATTTTGAAATAAATAACAGGGATAGATATGTTGCTTGTGATGTCTCTCTTAAGAAAAATGCTGTACAAGAAGAAAACCAAGTTGGCTGAGCTTTTCTTTGTTAGTGCTTGCATAACTGGAAGATTGCTGCACTTGATACATGAGAAAGTCAGTCTGGTCAATGACAGTCCTGACTATGAAAATGGGGAAAACCCTGGTGTATTAATTTCTTCATTTCTGTTTCCTCTACCCTCGCTGCACTTGTCTCTGTAACTTTACCCTAAATGATATGACATAGTCCTCAACAAACATGCACAGTGCAGGACCTAGTTTACAGATGAGAAAACTGAGTCACCAAATAGCCCAAAGTCAAGCAGCTTCTGAGAGGCTGAGCTGGAATTCAGGCTGAGCTCCCTGCTGGGTTCTGTGTGCACCCTTCACTGACTTTGAGTTCCCCATTTCAGAGAGAAGAAAAGAGTGAATTCACACCAGTGGCATCAACAGCCTTACAATGGCATGCACATTATTATCCAGCAGCCTGACCATGTAAGAGAGTGGTCAGCTGGGTCCCTACTTGTTTCTCTGAGGTTAAAGGAAAGTCAGTGTCATTCCTTCAAGATCCACTAGTTAAACTTGAATACTAAAAATCCACAAAAGAAAACAAAATTAAAATTATAAAAGAACTTGAGTATCTCATCAAAGAAGTACTGTGGGGGGCTGAGGGGCTCACACTTGTGAGCAGCTGTGCCATGTGTACCACTCCAAGTGGTTCTATTAAGGGGAAACTAGAGCCACAGTGTCCAGAGAGTAAAGCTAGCTCAGAACATTAGCCCCTGGGCCAGCATGTCAGCCAGCTCTAAGCTGTCCTTCTTGGATGAGGTCTTTTCAATACCTGCCTTCCCTCCGTTCATCTACAATTACCCAGAGAGGCACTGAGGAATGCCTCTTAAAACTTCATTTAATTTCTCCTGCTGCAAGAATTTGCTGGTCCTCATTCTGATATTACATATGTGGTACCACATCCTGATGATGTTCTAATTCTATGCTCACAAAGAAACTTTGGCATTGGTGGAGGAGTACAGCAGAACTGACCCAGAACCAGACTGCCCAGGCCTGCCACTTTTCATCCCTTCATCTGTGATTAGAGTAGTGAGGGAGTGAATTCTCAGGTTGCTGTAGAGACAAAGAGAATTAATACAAGTCAAATGCTGAAGATCATGACTGACACAGTGAAGGTTAGCGCTTGTAGAACAATCTGGGTCGTGAAGAGGGGAGGAATGTGATTTGATACTGTCAAGATTTACACTATTGCCGTTGCTAGAATTCGTGCCATTCAAAATGGGCACAGCAGAAAGCTGGGACTGTTCACTTTCTACCATGTTTTATTTCTATGAGATCAATCACTAGAGTCATGGACTATCCCAACCAATGTAAGAATGTTTACTGGACTGTCGAGGAGTCGTTCACTGTGGTTTCTCACCAATAGTTTCACTGGAGTCAAGAATGCCGAAGAAGCAAGCACTTCCCGTGGCTCTTGTCATTTGCAGACAAGAATCAGCCTGAAACTTTTCCTTCAGTGTGGATTTTGTTGGCCCTGTCCCTCAAGAAGCTCTTAAGACCCCAAAGTCAAGACAGCATTGCAAAACTTCAATTCTGTGACCATGACAGATTTTGAAGGTCACCTCAACCCCAAACACAAAGCTGGGGAGGGAGAGGGGGGAAGCGCAGCTGGCTGAGTTAGATTCAGACACTGCTCTTCATTCTCTCTAAATTTTCTTTTAATGTTTTCTCCCATTTGAGTTCTGGTAGTTGAATGCCATGGAAGATTACAGAGTGCAGCTAGGAAGAAAAGTGGTAGCCTCAATAACTGCACAATAAATAGCTGGTACTCTAATTATATACTACGCACGTCAGCCATGTTGAGTTCCCCAGATGTTGAGCATGCTTTTCTCAAAACCCTGGTGTAATCAGCTTTGTAAGGATGAGGGAAAGCTGAGGGTGATGTCTATGAATGGAAGGAACATCACCTGGCTGTGGAATGACAAGGTGAAGGAACTGGGTGGCACAAGATATGTTAAAGTGACAAGTCTAAAGTTTAAGAGTATTTGCATTTGCTATGGAGAAACAAGATATTTGAAGTGACATGGCTTGATGGTGAGATTATTAAGATATTTCAAGCACCAAATTATTTGTCAATTTCTCAAGACATAGGTGATACTGGAAAATTGCAGTAAGTAAATTTTTTTGGTGTATTATTTTATTTTGAGACCAATTAAAAATCTTTTTTTTTTCCAGAATGGAAAAAATATCTCCTTCTGATTACAAAAATATGAAGGCTGTTATTTGTTAATTTTTTTAAAAGATTTTTTAAATTTATTTATGCTTACAGAGCTGGGATGTAGGCCAGAGGTGTGGTAGGTGAGAGGATTCAGAGACAGAATGAGGAATAGAACAGACAGATCACTGAAATATACTGCTGAGGGGAGCAGCGGGTGGGTCATTCGCGGTCTGCAGTGCCATGTGGGTCAGCTCCCTGGCTGGGGATGGAACTCATGCTGCAGTGGCTTCAGAGAGCTTCATAGTGCGGAACTTTAACCCATTGTGCCACTACGGAGAGCCCAATCTGTTATTGTTTTTAAACAACAAAATGGAGATGTGTGAAGTAGAATGAAGTCTCAGTAGAAGTGCTACTCTCATCCCTTCAATCCTCCCTAGGACCACTGTGATACTACTTGTGCTTGATTCCATGAGAGCCCTAGAATAAAGTCTAGAATGAAGCAAGTCTTCTTTGCAATGAACCTAATCACTCCTTAATCACTCAGTTTATCTAATCTGTAAATTTAGATTTTATTAAATTAGGTTATCTGAAGGAAGTACACCTAATACCTGGTGACCTTCCAGAAGGCACCTGAATATTCTCTCCTGCACCTATCTTGTTTTCATGGTTCTAGTAGGCACTGTCCTTTTGTGAACATGAAAGTGTATAGTTGTGTTTACGTGGTAACATTGTGGTCTAATTTTTATTTCTTCTTTTTTCTTCTTTGAGCATGATTCTGTCTAGTTTAGGGGTAACTCTCTAAAGTCTCAAAAATGTATTTTCTTTTGAAATAAGCTGTTTGGAGAGAGCCTTTCAGTTTCTTCCTTTTTTTTTTTTTAAATTTTAATTCTCTATCAGCTATTCAGTTGGTAGTTTGTAAGGTTCTGAGGTAATAAAATGTTTGCTTAGCTGGTAGTAAGCCAAACCTGTGTTACAATTTTTTGTTTGCTTGTTTCCCTGAGATTGACCTGTAAAAAGTTAGAGTTTGTTTTGTTATTTTTGATAAAGTATCTTTGGAAATTATAGGATAGAGGTTACACAAACTCTTAACAAAGCTATCTCAGCTTTTCTTCTTTCCCCTGAAATGAAAAGCAATACTCTATTTCCTTGAAGCTTTATTCTTCAGGCAGTCCTTACCCGGCATTTTCACATTTTAATACTGCCTGCTTTTGGATGCTGCTCTTTACAGGTCTATGAACGGCATTTTGGACAGGATGTTTGGTGTTGTGAACCGAGTGCCTGTTTGCTGAATTCTCGTCCCAGGCCATCAGTCTCCGGAAGGGCTGAGGGTGCCCCAAGCCCAGGGAAGGCACACCCGGAAGCTGTTTTCAAGAACTTTTGCCTCAGGTGTAAAAACTCCAGACCTGCAGAGATGCTGAAACAGATACTGTCGAAGATGTACATAGATCCAGATCTGCTGGCAGAGCTCAGCGAAGAACAGAAACAGATCCTGTTCTTCAAGATGAGGGAGGAACAGATCCGCCGATGGAAAGAAAGAGAAGCAGCAATGGAAAAAAAGGAGTCGATGCCAGTGAAATCCAGACCCAAGAAAGGTACACTTGTGTGAATGTGTTAGTAGAATGGTTCCCATCTTGTTTAACATTTCACACTAAGCAGAAGCACACCGGATGCACATTCCAGTTTGGTATGGTGTTGAGGTGCTAACTGTGCAATTGATCAGCCTGACTTCTGTGTGCCTGCAGGTACCTACACATAGACAGCAATTGCCATAGAGCTGTGTATCTCTAAGTGGTCTCTTATTTGAAGCTAGACTCACCTTTAAGCTGAAGTTAAGTTACCCATAGAATTTGATTTCAGGAGTATTAAGGAGAGTTGACATCCCCTTTTATTGTCACAGATGCTGAATATTGTACTCTCAGCATATAAAGTCCTTGTATCAGCATCTTTAAAGCAATTGTGTTTGCATTTCTGGGACTTCAAGAGATTTTTCTTTGAGTTAGCTTCTTAAGGGAAACTCCTTAAAATCAAATTCTTCTCTAAGGAAAAAAGTCATGATATTTATTTTATAGTACAAATTAAATTTTTGGGTGTCCTTCTTTATTACCACAGAATCACTGGTAGCTTGTGGAGGTTTCTGGGGACCACGAAGGGAGGAGTTCTTTGCGCATCAGGACTTAAAGCATATACACAAACAGACATTGAAAAGTACACATTGACCCCCCTTCCCTCCCCCAAATTCTGTCATGGATGAATACCTAAGCTGTTTTTTAAAAACACAGCCTTCAAGGTCACTTACAGAGGCTTTCAAGACCAATTTTTCATTTCTCTTTAAGCCAGAAAAATGAAACTTTTATGCATTCAGGGTTTCACTTGCCTGCGTGTATATAACTGGTCTCAAAAAGGAAGTCAGAACAGTGGCCTTTAGATTATACTGTATTTTGTTAAAATCTTTTTCTAAATAAGCTTTATGGTATGGAAATGATATGGAAATACATGAATATCTCATTCGTTATTATTTATTCTTATCAATAGCAGCTGTTTATTAGTCAGCCACTATGCAAAAACACTTTTATATACATTATGTCTCATCTTCATAAAACTTGTACAAAGCTGCTATATCACTTTGTCCTGTTTTACAGGTAAAGAAATTTAAATCAGTGGAGTAAAGTGGAGTAATATATGCAGGCGCACACCCCAGTATGTGCCTGCATCACTGTGCTGGACTTCACAGTGCTGTACACCACTCAAAACAAGAGTTTTCCCTTCAATAATGACCCAACTGAAGTCAGAGTTTGGCAGCTCTAACGACCTTGTTGGGCCCCTGACCCTTGTTGGGTCAGTGAGCTTAACACAGTGACTTTGGAGATGAGTGAGCCTGAAGCATTCTTGCCCCGGTATCAATGGCCCAGAGTGCAACTTTGGGCTTCTTCTGTTTGGACTCCTTGCAATAACTCAAGACAGTAATTTCAGTTTCTTTGCTTTAATTCCTCCTTGCAGAGTTTTGATTCTCAGAAAACCTATATCACTCTATTTGTTAAATGTTCATGAAAAAGCATATTCATACGCCTGGTGAAAAGTTCTATCGGTATTTCATGCCAGCAGTTTATTATCCCCTTAAGTTTAACTCTTAGAAAAACAAGTTTTGCACTCAGTTTCTCTTGTGATTGTGGAAAAGGGTTGAGATTCTTTCTCAAAAAGATAGCACTTCTCTGCCTTTCATTGCTATCATTGAAGATAAAACCACGGGTAGTATAAAATGGTATCATTGCTGGTGCTCCCAAAGTCTCCTCATGTTGTAGACCTACTAAGCCCCTGGCCAGTGTTTGTTGAGACCTCACCTCAGGGAGGTGTGCGTGTGCTGACTTCAAGCCTATCTCCCTGCGCACCCCCTCACCCCCTTATCTGACTGGCATGGGCTGGGTTACATTCTTCCTACTTTCTAGCCCGCAGTTTGGAGATTGTCCCTTTTTTGACTCACTAATAATGTCATATGTCTACCCTCATTCCGGATCATCCCGAACAGTTCTTTCAATTGGTCTTTTATCTATCTATCTATCTATCTATCTAGTCTATTATGGTGAGTTTTTTTTTTTTCCAAAAAGATTGCAAGTTATATAGCCCAGGAACCTCTCAACCTTTTAGTAATTGCAAGACTACAGTAGGCGGTAGACTGAAAAACAGTCAGAAGGATAGACTTACTGAGTAATCAATCACAAATACGATTCTTTGAAGTAGAAAGAATTATGGCCTACTCTGCCTGCTGGGGTTAAGTAAAGGTTAAGGTCCAAGGAGGCATCAGCCAGAACAGAAGCCATTGCCACATGCGGCTACTAGATGTGAAATGAGGCTAATCTACATTGAGTATGCCAGAGTGTAAATGAGCACTCTGAAAGCCTTGATGGAGAAAACAATGCAAAACACCACCGTCATAATTTTATATTATTAAATACTGACATGTTAATATCTGGAGTAAAATAGGTAACATTAATTTCTCCTGTTTCTTTTGTTTAATGTGGCTGCTAGAAAATGTATACACACAGATATAGATCACATTTGGACATGTTG